TCAAATTCACAGTACCACAAGGAAATCCCTTCTATTCATGCAGATCTTTTAAACAACTCATGTAGCCTAGACCCCCAAGTTTTAATATCAGTGTTCTTTGTGGTTGTTCCAAGTTGTATTTTATGTTGTTTTTCATTTTATGTTTGCTTTTGTGTTCAATTTTTTTCCTGGTTATGTACAGTAAATCCTTTCAAAGAATGCTATGATATCATTCAGAAAAAATATTGTCCAATCCACTTTATTAGGTAGGTAGGGTAGAGTTCACGCTTGCACAACATTGCACCTACGGTAATATGAACCCCGTGTCCGCAGTTGAGATGCAGTCTTTTGCAAGCTAAAAGCAGAACCGTTTCATTTTATTTGCATACTGCTGCACCAATCTATTTTAGTGTTCACACCTACAACCACTGTGCTGTTTTCCCTTATCATGAAGCCTTGTAATTTTGCTTTTTCTTTCTTTCCCATTTTCTTGTAATGACAAGACAAAAGGAAATAAGAAAGTTCATTAGATTTGTAGTTGAACTGCTGCTGTGCAGTAACAAAACTAACCCATGCAACTAGTTGGGTAACAAAGGCAGTTTACGTATTGTATTTTGAAATTTAAGAACCTCACACAGGAAGTAGCTTCTGCTGTTTCTCAAAAGATCATTTCACAAAACCTGAGATTAGTGGAAGAGGTTAGGACTGAAAGGCTGTAAACTGAAATGCCTTCACAGAAATCTTGACCTATGGCAGGATTATCCACATATTAAAAGTTTTCCCATATGACACAACAGTGGTTTGCCATCATGTGCATTCATCAAGGAATTTTATCTAATGCTTGTACATTATTATTTAAGCATATGTAGCCACTTCACCGATCAAACATAACTCAAGATCTGGTCAGAAAGCACAGGTCCGAATAAATGTCTTTGAGGAACCCTGCTGTTCACATTCCTTTTCCATTCCTTTTAATTTTCCTTTCACACAAGGTAACTACTTATGATTGCTCAGGATCATCTGATGAGGAATATTTATTTATTTATTTATTTAATTTATATGCCGCCAACACTACCCAAAGGTCTCTGGGCGGCTTACAACATTTAATTTTATTATCAAAAGCTTCTGTAAACTCAAGCAAAGCAATTATTTTTACTGCATTTTTTTGCCTCCATCACTTGCCATTGGTGGCTTTTAAAAACTACATATTTATGCGCAGAAAGGCACATAGGCCACTTGAAGGAATGGGTTTTGCATACACTGTTGCTCTGTTTCTAGTTTCAGTTTGGGACAAGGACTATCGGGCTTTATCCAGAACTGTTTCTGCACCAGGGCTCAATAATGAAACATACACTAATAGAACAGTGCCTCTTGGCATGGACAATAAGCTTATCTCACCTGCGTAAACGAAGGTCACATCTGTTTGGGATTTTAAAAAGCAGATCTTTCAGAGTTATTTCAACTTTACCACTTGTAATTGCAGAACTCAAATACCAACTGTGTATTTTCCTACAACACAATCTGAAGGATAAGAAAAGCTACAGTGTACTGGAATTTAATCTATTATTCCGTTCAAGATATTTACACTGCAGCTCAGGCCTATAACACAACTTCAGGTTTGCACATGAAATTCTTCCTTAGTGTGGAAAGTTCCTCTAGGTTTCCCTTTATAGTGGTTCTGCTGGTTGATGTTCTATCCAGTTCTTGTAGAAGCTGCTAAGAGTTTCAGATTGTTATTTGACAGCTAAAGGTACTCAATCCTACAAATATTTAAAAGACTAGGGAAATAAGGTGGCTTAAAGTAATCAACACTGGCATGGTAAGCAATCCACTGCTGCATTGTTCCAAATTTTCCCAATTCCAGTGTTGCCTAAGCACCACTGCCATTTTTTGATGTGAAAGACAGCATTCTCTGAATATTCAATAGCCACTGCAGGTGACAGACTTTTCCTAAGAGATATAGTAAAGTTGTTCCTGTGAGCCAGTTGTTAGTTCAAATTATATATAACTCCCATTCCTGATATTATGATCAAGAGCCCATTCAAGTAAGCAGGTATACTTAGCAGATCTTAACAACTGCAGTGGATCCACCTAAATTCAAACTCCCACTGTTATGCTGCATAAATCAGAAGTCCTCAAATATTGGTCTGCAAGCTCCACTCAGATAATATGTGGAAAGGGACATAATTCAGCCGTGACATGATTATCTCCTTTTCCCCCAGCAGACAGAGCCCACTTCTGACTGTAACATCAAATAGATTTAACAAAATCCTGGATCGAGGCTACTGGTTTTCATAATGCACTGCAGGTTTTGAAGATGCAAGAATTTAAATAATCAAGTTTTTTTTGCTTTGCAATGTAGAGCAAATTTATATGCAATTTTCAAGAACCCCGCCAAAAATATTTCAAGAACTACTAGGAGAGATGGCCATTGCAATTAAGTATTACTGTCAAATGTCCCATTTTTAGCACCCTAAGGTCTTCAGAGTGCAAACAGTATGCAAGTCTGCAACACTTTAAGGACCATTGCTTATCTAAATGGTAACATCTTCTGACTTGTAATCTCATCACCCATGAATCTGATATATGGACACATAAGACTACTCCACATCAGGTTTGGTGGGGAATACTTCAAAGTGCATTTACCCATGTAAGGAGCTGCCTGCAAATAGAAACTGCCATACTAGGTAGAACTGCTGGATAGCTCTGTGGTTCAGATCTCTGGCTGCAGAGCCAGAGTTTGGGAGTTCGATTCCCCACTGTGCCTCTTTGACAGGAACTGGACTTGATGATCCATAGGGTTCCTTCCAACTCTGCAGTTCTCAGATTATTACTATTAAGTTTTGCTGCTGGATTTCAGCTACAGTATTATAAGTATTTATCCAACCTGTTGGTTTTGCCCAACAGTTCTACATAGCTCTCCAAGCGATTTGGATGAATTTTGAAAAGATGTTGCCATTCTAAAATGATTAATTCTATGAACACTCCGATTTAGAGCGGAGAAATTATTTTTAGAAAATGAGCAGATTTCATATACAACTGCATTTTGAAGTGACACTCCATTTTACTATGGAGTATATTATGAAGGTATATAACAAAACAAAACAAAAATGGTTCTTGATTGTAGCCATGTGCCTTAACCACTATTCCCCCCCACCCCCTGTATAAAAATCCACAGCACCACAATTATTTGGAAATATGGCTGGAAAATAAGTGATGGTATTATGACAGCCCTAGTTGTTAGAACTAAGACAATGCCAATAAGATGAAGCAATGCAATCACTAGGTTAAAAACTCAAGCAACAGAAGGAATCAAAGGAATCCAAAACACTCCAGTTTCAAAATTGCCAGACAAGATATTGATACTCTTTCAAATGAATGTAGCTTTAAGCTACACATTTCTCAAAATTCTGATTAAGAACTCCATATAAAAACACTTTCTTTGAATAGAGATGAAAAGTATCCATTAGGCACTGTAACACCTAACATGAGCTGTGTGGCTGTAGTTACCTTCAAGTCTCTAGAGATACCAAGCATATTCAATTATGTAAGAACATTTCTGTTAACTTTCATAATATAGCTAAAAACGAACCCTGTATGTCTGCACTCTTTGCCTGCCAATGTGGCAGAGAATACTATAGCCTCCTGTGGTGCACAGAGAGCTAATTTTTAAGATAAACTAGAACTACACAGTAAACAAACTTTACGAGACAGAGACTGAAAAACACTACCGAACTATGACATTGTTTGTGTAATCATCTTTACACAAGTTTGCACACTTCTACTGTTGACAAACAAATGTCAAGTGTAAGTTTAAGAGCCAATGCCTGTAAACATATTTTAAGACAAGTCATATAAAATCCAGAAAAATGGAGACTATAAAAAGCTAGAATTGCACAAATTTGCATATAACGAAGTCTGCAATCCTAGAACAGCGGACTCTCACCTGTTTGTCACAGTGCCAAACATCTAGACTAGAAATGTGAGGCAGCGGCTGTTTTGCTTTTCATTCATCTATATGCTTCTCTGGGAGATTTTCTGGCTGAACAACGGGATGAAAGTGCTTCAAAAGAACAAATAATAAAAGTTTGTTTTTCAATTGAATTTATTTCTGGGTGTGTTGAGAACTGCAGCCCAATACAATCCAGCCAAAAGTTGAGTATTGTTTTACGTCTTCTCAATAGGAAAATTAAGGACATGCTTAAGCTTCTCAGTCAAGAAGACAGCAACATTAAAAGTAATAGTTCAGGTCGAACCATTCCAATTTGTGACAACACACAACAGTATTTCAGGTAACAGTATTATGCTTATCTGTGCTAGGTCAAGAGATTTATTGCAAACGACAGATGTGTCACCAAATAACCAGCCTCAGTTCTGCATTTAAATACTGTTTTGTCCTCCGAGGGTGGTTTTATTGCCAGGAAAAAGAGACAGCGTGCAAAAGAGAAATGCTCAAAAATTTTGTTTTCCCAAAACAAGCCATAACCAGCAGTGATGACCTTATCTTGAGTAGGCAACTGGATGGTTCCAAAAGATAGTTTTTCTACCATGTCTTAAAGCTGAAACAAACCATGGCAAAACTAGATGTTGCACTTTTATAGAAGTTACAGGTTAACATTTAATTTTACATCTAGGTTCCCACAAATATGTGGAGACAAGAATTTAGGATGCACAGAACTATAAGCAGTGCCAAAAGTGGAGCTAGACGTCACAGAAGCACAAACTAATAGTAGAGGACTAGAATATGCTGAACTAAAGACAAGAATGGAGACAAAACCATGAGCGCAGAAAAGGAGAAAGTTACCATATTACTGACAAAAGCCAGAAAAATGAGTGGCACAAACAGTGCTTCTTAGAACAAAAATCCCAGTAGCAATGACTTTATTCATTCATTTCAGCCACTAGAAATGAGAGTGACTACGGCAACAAATATGTTCATTAATGTAAGTGGCATCATGTAGTCCTTGATGGATAGCAAATATTCCACATAGAAAAGTCACTTCAACACAACCTCATGACAATTCCCACATCAAAACAGTACTTTATTTTGCAGTTTTTGCCTCATTACTCCCACATAAAGATCTTTCAGCTGTCAAAGTGTACAAGGTAAAGAAAGTTTCTCAGTCAACAAACTGGATGCATCTGGAAAAGTCTCCACAATACACCAGTACATCAGCTGGGTCCCAAGTCCATAGCTGCACTGCTGGATCCCAGTACCTTGTGTAGCACACTCAAGTCTATACTACGAGATTAGCTTATTAGTTCTGCATACTTCAGGGCTGATCAATGTGTCAACCTGAACACAGACCAAGTTTTATAACTGAACATGGCAAAAAGTTCACTCTACTAACTTTCACATCATTAATTGATGTCAAACAATGAGGCAAATCCCAACAAGTATATACAAAAACCACCTTTGCTTTTACAAAAGATTTTGTTTCCCATATTGATTAATCCAGGCAGCTAACTCATTGGTTTATGTAACTTTATTGAAGAAAATAAAATCAATTACTAGAAGAGCTATTAGTTGATCACTCATCCATTGACAACTTGCATCATTTATTCAGTGCTATATTAAACTGTTGTGGAAGATAGATTAACTAATAGCTCCAAGCATCCTAACAAAATTTAAATGAGAGTTACAAAAATGTTCTGAGACCCCATTTTGGAATACAAGGGATGATGGACTTCCAATTTCCATTCTCTGTAGAACAAGAACTGGTCATTCCTTTATTGACATGCATAAGATACATCACGTGTTCTGTTCTGCTGATGCTACAGGTTCTGTACAATTCTCCAGCCATACCAGTTATGAGCACAAGTATCTCATGAAACCTCAGTCTCTAACACTGGAAGGTTTAAAACAAGATGGATGATGCTACAGCAATGCTATTTCCTGTGATGTGAGCAATCTGAACATCCATCTCCCCTCCCTTTGGGTGATATCTTCAGTAGAACTGTTAGAGCAGTGAGGAATGTTTTCAATCTCATAACCAAGTTAGAGTGAAGACATTGGCCACAACACACATGCTCCATTTAAAGAATTCTGAATCTTGGGCAACTGTTCTTGAATAACTACTTTACAGATTCTAAAAAGCAGTTATTGTCCAAAGCTGGAAGAGCTAAAGTCTTCTCAGATGAGCATGTGCATGAATGGACAGAGGTAAATAAAAAAAAAGATGAGGTCTGATAGGGGAGCAGCCGGATAAGAAAATCAAAAAGGAACAGTAATTTAAAGTTTATTCCAGCTATAATGCAGGTTATTCTGACTTAAGGTAGCATCACATGGCATACTTCTGAGTCCATTCCCGAGATATTCTGTTGTACCTGTAAAAGGAAAAGATGTTAAGCAAAATCAACTAAACCACAATCAGCAATTTAAAAAAATTTAAGGAACTTCCACACATTTAAAGTCACTTTCAACTTCCCAGGAGCATGCTCATTTACACCACTGTTAACAAGAACATATGTATTGCCTCAAACCTAGAAAGTTTTCAAACCAGAAACCACATTTAGGTCCAAAAAAAGAACATTCAAAAGTACAGTGAACTCACTGCTAATCATATGGAGAATCTATTTCGGGTTTATTGACATTATATAGAGCAGATCATTATTTTCAGTTATCTAAAACTCCCAGAGTTTCGATCTTGAAACAATGTAACCCAAATTATTCAGAAATGACAACACAATCCTGACATATTGTTCCTATACTTCCATTTTCTTTACCAGATCCCTAAGCAAACAAAACTATACAAAGGGGGGGGGGATGTAACTGGCATCAACCACATCATGATACAAACTTGGTCACACAAAAACTATGACCAGGTAAGAGGTGAGGTCAATTGCCTTGAAGTTACTCCACCAGCATGCTAACACATTCCATATTGCTCTTAACCACTGAGCTAGATTTCCAGAGGACTGCAAACAGAGCACGTCTCATATCAAGCATATAGTACAGCAGTTATGCAGCATTGCATATCAAAAAGCACATCTTAAATGTGCAAGTAAAAGAATGTTCAATTGTCATGACAAATAATGCAAAACTCCAAACATTTATAAACAAATCAAACAAGCCCTTTAATGCTCTATGTAGCCAACTTCTCTAAAAAATCAGGACTGACACAACTACGCAGCACTCCACTGAAATCAACTCAGTGCTGTATTTACATGCTCCGTTATTATGTTAGTGTCTTCCTATACAGTACATGCCCAGTACATTTATGTACTTCATGAAGTCAAGAGTTTTACCTGTTCAACAACCTGCATGAGATTGATGACTAAAGCCATTTTCTCTTTGAAATTGTGCCAAATGCACTTATCAGATGAAAAGAAAAAAACCAAGACTCATCTAGAATATTTTTAGATTTGGCTATACATGTTTTCGCCATGCAAAAATAGGTTTCTCACACTGAATAAAGATCAAGCAGTTAAACTTGGTATTTCAGTAACTGGAACATTCTTTTGTTAGTTAATCCAGTGCCTTATAGCATGCAGCACCCAAGTGCTGAAGTCCCCACATCATTAATGCACCATGAAGTGCAGATAGTCTTACCCTACAGCATAGCGTATTTCTCTGTCCACTCTCTTGCTAACCTATTGTACCTAATTGGATAAGTATATTTAGTAACAAAGACAAGCCAATAGATCCATCTTAAGTCTACCTGGCCAAGATTTAATTGCAAAGTTGAAGCAGAAAGCAGTTTTAAACCTAATTAGGAGTTCTGATGCAACTACAGTTAAGTCAAAAATGAAAGGCAAAAATTAAGTCATGAGACTTGCACTACTCTGACAAATTCAAATTCATTTGCCAAGTGTTTTTAAACTGTTTTCAAGTATTCTACCAAGAGGAACACAACACTTTTTGGTCAATGTTGAATTCCAATTTGCATTCTAGCACTCTCCTGAAGCCTTCTAGTCATGAAAGCAGAACGTCATGAAAGTTTTACTCAATTCAGACTCTAATACAGGAAGAGCAAAAATTATCCAAACGCTTTCTAACCAAATCTTCCACTCTATCATTTTTTGTATACGAACTGTACTTACTTGTCTCTGTCTGTTTTATAGATACGTGCAATCTCTGGCACTAGGGGATCATCTGGATTTGGGTCACATAGCAGTGAACAAATGGATAAGAGAACTGCAAGAAAAAGACAGTAACATTTACAGTAAGATCTAAGGAACAACTGCACAGTTCATCAAATGACAACTAAACTATCTGCCTCTGCAAATGTATACAGAACATGTCTCTTTGGTTAGCTATAAGTTATGGATTAAGGGCTTGATTAAGGCAACAGCAAAAACCAATATATGCTCATTTAAAGTCATTGGCTTAACAAAATGGATCTCTCCTTTGCTGACAATTATAATGCACAAATGACATCCTAGAATTTCAGTGAGTTAGAATAGATAACCGTAGAACAAGTTTTCCAACAGCCATATTCTCTACATTCCTTTCATTCACCCTGTTCAAAACATAACATCAACACAATACACATGTAATAAACCCAAGTTCAGTTATTAAGCTGCCTTAATTAAGCTGCTTTACCATAAAACATAATTCTCTGAAGAATTCTCTCCACTCCTTCAGTAAAGTACTGTTAATGGCTTTATGGGAAGATTCATTTGTCAGTTCAACAACTAGCTATAATCAGTGAAGTATGTAACATTTATATTTAAAATCTTCAGAGCGCATCATTATTGTTGTACTAAGCAAATTTGCTGAAAATCTGTCCAGAATTTTAAAATACTCATGTCCCCAATCTCTTACACCACTAAGTTAAAATCTTAAACTTAAACCCAATTAGTAACTAGTGCAGAAACACTGAATCAACAAAACTTGATACATCAGCCTCTATGTAAGGCCCACCGACTCAATGAATCTATTCTAGTGGACATTAATAAACAGATTTAAGCCCTACAGCTTAATATGCTGAGATGTGTGTTCACTGTAAGCTAGAGTACTTCTCCAAAACCAACTGTATAATTCAACACCGAAAACAAAATATAGATTTAAATACACCGCAAACTTCAGTAGTCATTAGCAGAATAATATAATATTATTCTAAAGAGATGGAGAGGCAACTTACTCTTCTTTACTTGAAGAGCAGACATGCAAGTCATTTATGAAACCAATTACTGTATTTTTACCTGAATAGTCTGCCTACCTTTAGAAATAGTTAAAGCAGGAGACCACTGTGACCTTAGAATGTCGAGACAAATGCTGCCATTACTGTTAATATTTGGATGATAAATTCTTGTTGTAAATGCAACCTAAAAGAAACACACATCAATCTGTGATTAGCACAAATATGCTTCTGATCTGCTTAAAGGCACTATATGTCAAAATGAGTATTTACACTGATGAATAGATGCAGTGTTATATATAAAAATGAGAGACTCATTTATGGCATATTGCCAGCAGAGTAACAGCATCATTTCATATGTCAGATGCTCTAATATCTTCCTGTAAGAAATAAAATCTGTTTATTTTTATATTTTATTTTGCCTTCTTCTTAGGAAATACTGTGGACAAATGTCAATATGATAAAAGTGTTATTAACAGAATCTTATTTTTTGTAATATAGTATAAAGTCCATAGGACTGCAGTTCTTTAACTCCAGATACCTGGGGCACAGGCTGTTTTCTGAATTAAAATGAAAATCCATAATTCTAACTGTATATGCATTTTCTCAATCAACTCTCATGTCAGACAAGCAGCATTTTTTTTCAACAGTATGTATTTAGAACCCCATTCTTATCTTTGCCTAACACTTTCTGGCACATAGTAATGCTACAACTGCCAGTTCCAAGAGAACTGCAAATACATGTGCAGTGTATTATACCATATACAGTATATATGAAAGAGGTCAACGTACATTTAGGTGCACAGGACTAGTCCACAGTTTGGTTTAGTTTTCACAACGCCTGTCACCAACCAACGTTATGTCAATTGTTTGGTGGAGCTTCCAATAATTGTTCAAAAAGAATTTTCACATAATTATCTGGTTTCTGTCTCAAAGCAACTATATGGTCTGCCACTAATTAATGGTATTCCGTTAGTTGAACTGTGGAATATTTGCAGCAATACTAGTTGTCTGGACTAAATCTAAACCAACATGTGCAAGATTAACCTACAAACCAGAAATCTTTGTGTGCATTTCTGCCAGAGCCTTGCCTCTGGGGTAACAAGAGGTACTGACTTTTCATTCTATCTATCCAAAGGGTCAACATTTTAAGTAGAAGCATCCTCCAAAAAATGCACTTGCCTTGGGTGGTTTGAAAGGATAGTCTGTAGGAAAATGAATTGTCAGGAAGAAAACACCGCCTTGATATGGACTGTCATTCTGTCAGAGAAAGAAATATAGAAATGCGGAATTCCAGCTGGAACTATAGAGCTGAGAATAACAGCACTAATTTGTTCTTCAAAACCAAATAGGAACTAAATATCTTTTAATACTGTCATCATTTGTTATTTTTATCTATTAACTTTATTTTAATATTGTAAGCCACACTGGATTCTTCATGGTGAAAGGTGGCATATAAATAATTTAAATATATTTATATAAATATATAAAAATAAAAAATATATAAAAATAACTTCCCGTTGTTTAGCAAGCTGTACTCAAAATTTTGTTTCTCAAGTTTAATGAAGATTATATACAAGAATACATAAGACCCAGAGATCTTGAAATTTCTATCAGTATCCTTGCATGATTACTAGTATGTAATTACAGAGCATTTTAATCCTATTCACAGATATTCTTCCTTAGAAATCCCTGCAACTTTTCTCAAGGTGCCAGGGTGAAAATGTTTTTTTCAGTTCTCTCAATCCTAAATTATAGGGCAAAATCCAACATTAGTCTCATTTAGAGACTCACTAAAATCAGCACAACTTGTTTAGCCAATGCAATCTGAAGGTGAGGCAATGTCTACAGTGATCCCTTATTTTCAGAATACTCAGAAAATTAATAATATAAGAATACACAGTACAGAACCAAAGGATATTAGTGGCCTCAGCTTTCCAGATTGAAATGCAAAGGAATTACCCTGAATGCTTCTATCAATTGATCCACTAAAGGTAATGAAAATATTGAAGGTAAAATTCTGCACTATAATCTTCCTATCCCAAATCTTCAAGAGACAGAAGTGCCTTTATAGAAGAATTCTGAATACTTGTATTTAAGAATTAAGTTTTCATAAATGTGCAATACTCACAGGACCCATAATTGTGGCTTGCCAGTGAAACACTATGGAGGTGAGAAGGAGAAAAGAAATAGAAGTTTCATTACTTAGATCATTTTTCCCCAGGAAAACTTAAAACAGATCAGGCTATCTTTATTGTTCCAAAGAGTAGTGTTAATTACTTACTGTCATCTCCAACAGGGCCTGCAGAACACTGAGCTGGTGGATCACGGGCCAAATCACTAAGTTCCTAAAAAAGAAGTACCACATTTAGAACACACCATATTTCAGTCTCTTACTCTGCCCATGTTAATACAGAAGTATGTTTCTGTATAAAATTACTGTAACTTTTTCAACAGATGTCTCAAATTAAATGTGTGATTTATACAACATGACATCCCACAATGCTCCCAAAAACATTCACAGAAGCAGGGTACAGTATATATAACAAAGATTGAAAAGTATATGGCCGCTCAAGGTATTTTCATGAGCCCACACACCTATCAGCAAAAATATCTGCATCCTGGGAGAAAATGGTTGTAAAAAGGTGAACTGTGATTCTTGTCAGTCTTCAGGAGTGATGATTCATCTGTTAAACAAATTGGCCCTCAGCATTTTTCCCCAGTAAAGAAACTGTTAACATATGAACCTGAAAGAGTCAAAGAAAGGCGCTCGTTAAGCAAGGCACCACTGTACTTTCTATGACCAAGCCGACAATGCTGGACACATGAAAATAAAGTAAAGGCTCTATCATGGAAGGCTTTATTGGAATACTTTCTATGACCAAGCCGTCAATGCTGGACACATGAAAATAAAGTAAAACCCTGCTAGCTCCCTGCTAACTCAAAGATCTGAATCACAAGAAAGAACAAATTTTGCTGACATGATCACAGCCAGCTAGCAACATTTCCACATTTATTCTATGCATTTATCAAACTAAATGATAGCTCAAGACATAGGACTTAATTTGGAAACCTTTGGCGTGGTTTTAGTTTATGGATGTACAGTGGTGCCTCGCATAACGAGCGCCCTGTTTAATGACGAATCCACATAGCGATTCGTTTTTTGCAATCGCAAAAGCGATCACATTGCGATGTTCCCTATGAGGAAAAATCGCTTTGCGATTTTTCCCCATAGGCCCCTGGAGGGCCCTTTGGAGCGGCCGCGGGGAGGGCTCCCCCACCGCTGTTCTGAAGCGCTTCGGCCGGCCGCTTCGCAACGACAACGGGGAGCCCTCCCCCTAGCCGCTCCGAAGCACCAGCCGGCCGGCTGTGTGAAAATGGGGGCTTTGGGAGGACCGTGGGGGAACCCTCCCCCGCGGTCCTCCCAGAGGCCCCATTTTCACACAGCTGATCGGCGGTTCCAAAATAGCTGCCACAACCATTTTCATGCGCTGCCCTCACTTACCGAGGCAGCCAAATGGCGGCGCTATGGAGGATCTTCGCATAACTGTGAGTTTTCGCCCCATAGGGACGCATTAAAGGAAGTTTAATGCGTTTCTATGGGGTTTTCCCTCCCGCATTGCAATGTTTCTGGATAGCGACGATTAATCCGGAACGGATTAACGTCACTATGTGGGGCACCACTGTATAGTGGTTTACAGAGCATAAGTAAACTTGCAGAGCTACAATATTTTGGTGATCACTATTTTTTCATTGAACTATATGAAAATGTTCCTATAGCTAGTAGTATACTACACCACAGGATAACTAGAAATCAAGTCATTCATATTTCTCTGTAAGAAACAGGCTGGTAGCAGAAAAGCAAGGACTGCTTGATTCTCTTTGACAAGGGCACAAGACTTTCCATATGTGGTAACTCTGTGGCCTTGTAGAGTAAGTCACATTGTAGAACCATACTAAGATAACTAGAACTATTTCCATTGCTTCTCAAAAGGGTAGCATAATGTGACATTCCAAACAAAAAGCATAGAACAGATCCCAAGTTTTAATTGCAACTAAACATTTCACTCTGAAATAGTAAAAGTGTCTCTGCTGGAGATCACAGCATTAACAAAGAGCAAATCTACTGAACCAAGGCCTTTTTCTCTGATCAAAAACTTATCATTTACACTATACAGCGGTGCCTCGCTTAGCGAGGTTAATCCGTTCCGGATTAACCCTCGCTCAGCGAATCCATCGTTAAGTGAAACAAAAAAGCCCATAGGAACGTATTAAAACTGATTTAATACGTTCCTATGGACTTAAAACTCACCGTTCTGCGAGTTTTCTCCATTGCGGCGGCCATTTTGGATGCCTCGTTAGCGAGGCAAAACAGCGGTCGCCATTTTGTTTTAGCGGCGGCCATTTTAGAACCGCCGATCAGCTGTTCGCTATGCTTTGATCACGTCCGCGCGATCATCGCATAGCGAAAAAACCCCATGGGGCCAGCGCTGAGCGAACGCTCCAGCGATGGCCCGGGACCCATCGTTGTGCGGTTTCATCGCATAGCGAAGCATTCGCTATGCGAGGCACCACTGTACTGCCTCTTAGTCTAACCTTGCAATTAAGTCCACAAAATTTATTGACCAAGAAAATCTTGGAAGACTTACTTACCTTGTTTTGTTTAACATATTCACCCACACGTTTAAATTTTTTACCTGATAATAATGCTATATAAGCAAGTGAGTTAAAAGTACCTGGCTGCAGAACCAGGCGCTGAAAGTTTGATTCCCCACTGTCTCTCCCATGAGAAGAGTCAGGCTATGTAACTTTGGACAAACCACACCGTCCCAGAGCATCCCCAGAAAAAGGGAATGGTAGATCACTTCTCAGTACTTCATACCTAGGAAACTCTAGCAAGGGTTGTTACAAGTCAGAATGGACTTGACACCAGATAACTATTAATTATTAGAATGCTCCCAGGGATGATTGTGAAACAGAGGCAATGTGAATGTGTGTGATATGAGAAATCAGCGCCTTCTGCAGCAGGTTGTAAAATATTCTAAAATATGCTGCAAGGATGCCTGAGAACACAGCCTCAAGAGGAATGCATTCACCTCTCAGACATGTAGCATCAATCTTTGGACACTTCTCTACTTTTTTTTTCTGGGTGGTGCACTATTCATGAAGGAGGTGGATTGAGCCTGAGGAACTGAGGCTTTCCCCACAAAAGCATGCAATTAATATGATTTTATAGGAGTCAATAAAAGGTATCACCCACTCTTACATTTGTGTAATCTTGGAGAACATGCAGCCTTATAATTGTTCTAAAAAAATTAAGGAATCTTCAGAAGATCGTGTTCCAGCTGAGTATTCTTAGGGAGAGTGTTTCATGGATGGGACACTGCAGCTAAAAAGGCAATGACCACAACTACAGCATCTTTCCAGATGTCACAGCTGCTAGGCAGCTTAAGCTGCTATGTCGCAGAGACCAAGCAATTCCAGTTACAAAGCTGGTTCAATAATCTACTGCTCATCCACTCCACAAAAATCTCAAACTTGCTCCTTCAAATAAAGTGTAACCAGAACAAGCTTACCCTCTCACCTCATCACGCAGATACATACCGTTTTCCCGAAAATAAGACCTAACCTGAAAATAAGCCCTAGCATGGTTTTTCAGGATGCTCGTAATATAAGCCCAACCCTAAAAATAAGCCCTGGTTAAGTGAAACCCCACCCTCCAACATTGTGCAGCAACCAGAAGATGGCATGACTATAAAATAAAACATCCCCCGAAAATAAGCCCTAATGCGTTTTTTTTTTGGAGCAAAAATAAATGTAAGACCCTTTCTTATTTTCGGGAAAACAAGATACTCATTCATCATGTTAGGACTCAGCATTCACTGTGTGATTCACGCACTGAGCTCCAGCACCCAGAACTCCCTTTTCTATATCAGATGAGATATATTGGTAGTGATATCCCTTCAATCCAAATACAGTGGTACCTCGACTTTCGAACTTAATCGGTATTGGAACGATGTTCGTACGTCAAAAAGCTCGTAAGTTGAGGCAAAGTTTCCCATAGGAATGCACTGAAAACCATTTAATCGGTTTCAGCTGTTTTTCGTTCGTATGTCGAAGCACTGTTCACAGATAGAGGCATTAGTTCCCATAGGAACTAATGCAAAGCGGGTTAATCCATACTCTACCACTAGGGTGAGAATTTTTTCTTCTTCTTTTGAGCTAAAATGAACTTAGATCAAAAAAAAGGGAAGGAAAAAATTTTTTTTCATTCGTAAGTCGAGGCTCCATTCACAAGTTGAAGCAACATCTTGCAATCGGAGCCGTTCATAACTCGAAATGTTCGCAAGTGGAGACGTTCGTAAGTCGAGGTACCACTGTAATATTATTCCATTTTATGCAGTTTTTTAACCAGGAAGAGGCTTCATAACCCAAAATGTAAAAACCACAGCATTGCCTGCAATTGTCTAAAGCAACCTTTTGGATATACTGATTGACTGAATTTTTTTATACTGCCCATCTGGCCCAAGGCCATTCTGACCGATTACAATAAACGAAGTTTGTTTTCAAAGTATATAGTAGAACCATCTTGTAATTCTGTCACATGAGACATCCTGTTTCCAAGGATCCCATGGCTAATGTTTTCCACCCCACCACAAGGTCTAAGGGAAATAGAACGGTTGCAGGTCATCCATCAATGGCAACAAAGACTATTTGTTGTCTAGAACCAGAAAGAACTGAAGCAGGACCGTTTAGTCTCATCCAAGGAAGCTACAATCCAGTGTAGCACCTTTCCCAAGAAAAGCATCTTTGAATCTATGTGGTCAAAATTTAAAGATGGCATGGAAGAATAGCTACAGTCTTAAATGGATCATTAGTCTCTAGTAGGTGTCATGAAGTTTCAGGTTATATCCAACAGTGTTCTGACAAATAAACATCGAATGGCTAACTCTTCAACCTTTAAAATGCACATCAATTTTGCACACTTAAGGGGTGGAAAACTGTAGCTACTAGATACTTCTAAAATATAACTCGCATAGTCCCTCATCATTTGCTATGTTGTCTAAAGCTGTTGGACATTCTATGCAAAAAAAGAGAGAAAAAGATCCAGAAGTAGAGATGGGGTGTTCATATTCATATATCAATATCCCCACACAGCTGGAGTTAATGAGGGTGGGCCAGACCATCCACTCACGTGTCCGCCCCTCCCCCTGCTCTTCCTTCCAATTGCTCTGAAGCGCCCCGTCAGCTAGCCACTCCTGACAGAAGGAGGGAAGATGACTCTCCCTGCAAGGCTGATGAGTGGCTAACAGACCAGGAGTTCCAGAGCAACTGGAAGGAAGAGCGG